ATATATATAAATTATTATAAAATTATTTTCTAAAATTTATTTGAAATAATTTTAAATACAATTTTAAAAATTAGAAATATAATAAAAAATATAAATATTATATGTCTTGAAATTTGCAACTTTTCTACAAGAATATATGAATCTCATCTGTCAAATAATTGAAAATGTCGCATATTACGTTCTTCGAAAATTGTAAATAATTATGATTGCCATATTTTTGTACAATAGTAATATTGATATAAAAAACAATTTTTATTATCGTCCATAATGGATGATGACACACCATGCGAAAATATTCTTGAACGATTATTTGATTGTGGTAAAATTTTTCTTTCAGTGTTGAGTAAAACAAAATCAGCATACAAAATATTCCTATTTATCCTATTTTTTCTATTTATTCAAAATATTCTATTTATAATTTTTATCATTTAAATGTTATATATTAATCCTACTTTTTAATGTACATACATATAAAATCTTAATAGATTCTTTATACAGTACAATCAGGAATAGAATGGGGTTCGGAGAAATTTAAATCAGCATGGCCTTGCAGAAAGAAAAACCTAAAAGGAGATGTAGATGGAGGAAAATTGAAGACGATGACATAGGTCCACCTTGTACAGAAGACCGATCGAAGTATATACTTCCCAGTCAAATCTGTCCTAAAATCTCTTGTTACATAAAAATGCAGGTAGAAGATATAATTGTATAATTAGAATTAGATATAATCGTATTACAAAATTAATTCAAAAAACGCGAGAAATTAGTTTATTGCAAATTGTTAAGAAATTAGTTTAATGCTAATTGTTTAATGCAAATTTTTGAGTTCACGCAAATGGAAAAAATATATACATATTAAATAAATTATAATATTTTAATTATAATTAATCACCTCGTTGTAACTAAGACATTGTATATAATTTTTTCTTATTTAAAATTAATCAAAAATTTTTATTATTTTCATATATAAAATTTTTGTGTGCATCCTTGCTCTATTTTATTCTTATATTAAAACTTTTAATTGCAATTTATAGGATCCTTATGCCCCATGTTGTTGCAAACCAAAATCAAAATCACCTTTATGTCCCCCTAAATGCTATCGTCGGCAACGAGAACGAACTTGCATCTGTGATCTTTGCAAAAAGAATATTGACAATAAATGCTGTAGACCCTTCGCAGCTTTTCGTGCAACTTGTAATTCTAAATTTGAAGGATAAAAATTTATATGATTTAGATAGTGCGCTCAAAACAACAGATTGTATACAAAAAAGTAGTGAACGTATATTAAAATAGAAAAACACATTACAAAACATAATGACAATTAGTTATAATCACATAGTTAAGTTTTCTTGTATATCTCTGTATATTTATATGCCCTCTTGATTTATTCACTCACATGCACATACACACACACACACACACACACACACTCTCTCTCTCTCTC